CCCGCCTCGGCCTCCCAGAGTGCTAGGATTACAGGCGTGAGCCACCGCGCCCGGCCGGGTTAGCCCTTTTGACATAGGACAGATAATCTCCGTCCTCTCCCTGCTCAACTGGGCTGGGAGGGCAGAGAACAACAAAAGATCTGCAAACCCCTTAAGTATTCCTTGGAACCGTGTAGACCGGATAAACGTACTTGTGCTTTTTGGAGGAGTCCTGGTCTGCATCCTGCTGTTCAGCGGATGTCGCAGGGCTGCCCACCACCACCGGGACATCTGCAGGGAGGGGGACCTGGTCCTTGTTAAGAAGGTGATTGGAGTGGAAGGTTCCAGTTTGTTGTGTCTGTGCTTCTCCAGGGGTTATCAGCTAACACTTAGTGACTGCTTCTCACGGGCAAGAGAAGGAGCTAAGCAGCCTCCCAGGGACCCCTCGTCTCCAGGTGGGTGCGGATCTATCAGGATACCCGTGTCACACACGGGGAAGCTGAGCCTCGGGGGGAATAAGTGACTTATTCAAAGCCGCACTCTTAATAAGCACGGAATCCAGGATTGAGTCCTGTCGGGCTGTAGAACTCAAGCTCCCCAGCACCTCTAATGCGCAGGCGGGATCGTGAACATACCGAGCGACTGGCACGTGAGAACGCGTTTCCTGGCCTCCCTTGCAGGTAGGTAAGAACGTGCGGCCGTGTTCTGGCCAGAGGTCCGCTGTCAGAGCTGGTCCCCACACCGGTGGGTGACGACACGTGCCAGCTCCGGGTGGTACCAGCATCAGTACTGTCACAGGCAGACAAAATCCTCACCCTGCTCCCCTGCTTTCTCCCGTGCTGCCTCTCCCGGTCGCCCTCCCCTCGGCTCCTCATGTCCCTCCCACTCCGCTCACTGACTCCCCTCAGCCAGCCTCGGTCTTGACCCTCCAACGTGATGCCCCTTCTTCTGAGCACCAGTCTCAATGTTCATTAGGTATTTATTCTCCCCGTGGGGACCCTGCTGCCGCCCCAAAGGTCACAGGGCAAACCCACCTTTGCTGGAGTGTGAGGGACCAACTGGTGCCACCTGTGCCTTGTGAAGGAATTATGGAGACTGCCGGCTGCTCATCCTACAGTTGCCTTTCTTCCTTAGTGTCAAAATAATTGTTAAGTAAACATTACAGGGGGCTACTGTTTTGGATTAAGCTCCTGCACTAGGTCCCAACAGACTGGACTGAAAATCTCAATGGGGTCACCCAGGCTGAGATGCCACATCACCAAACTGAGTTGTCTGAACTTCTGAGAAATTGGGAGAGAGAGACAACGGCCAGTTTCCCGAACAGGCCAGTTCCAGCCCTCAACTGGCACGATAACGGAGTCCCTTCTGTTTTCATCTTTAACCTGAAGGAACCAGTCAGTTGTCTTTCGTCCTGTTTCGCTGCCCCACCTCACAAGGAAAGTAGCCTTGAAATGACCAATCCACTTTCTGTTCTTGTTTCTGCTTTCTTCACCCCTTTTTTCTGTCTAGAAAGCTAAGCTTTGCTGCCTGACTCATTGAAGCACATTCTATTTCATGGAATGAACTGTTGTCTGATGCTAGAATCACAATTGAGATCTTTAAATTTGTTGTAATTTCATCTTTTGACACTTAGTGTTGGAACTCCAGTTTTATTCAGGGCGGCTATGTGCTCAGCTAAAACAATGCATTTTCCAGCCTCCCTTGCAGATAGGTGAGAGCATGTGATCATGTTCCAGTCAATGAGAAGTAAGCAGAAAGTATTTGGTAGAACTTCATAAAGGATCCTTCAAAGAGCTGAACACTTTTTGCTCTTCTGCCTTCATGCCATCCTGCTATCAGGAGTGTGAAGGCTGGAGTAGCAGCAGCCGTCTTGGTCCATGAGGTAGTCTTGGGGGTGGATGGCACGCACTAAGGTGGTGGGACACAAAGATGGAAGGAACCTAGGTCCATGGTTGGAGGCATCATACCAGCCACCAGACCAGACTATCGCCAACCTCCCGAATTGTTTTATGTGAGGGAAAATAATACCATATGTGCTCAAACTATTGTTATTTCTGGTTTTCTATTGCATGTAGCTAAACTTAATCCTCACCCAATTCTGACAATTATAAGATCTCTGTCAGGTGATTGTTCTGTGTTTGCTTGACTATCTCCCAGTCCTATACAGTCAAAAGCAGTGTCATGCATTGTGTGCCAGTATGCCTGACACCGTGCAGGTGTTATTTGCACACTTTTTGGGTGGGGAAACTGAAACAGAGAAGCCAGGTGCACAGCAGGCTCAACGGTGTCTGCCTGACTCCAAAGCCCCACCCCACGTGCTGCCCCCCGTTTCTAACTAGAAAGTTCTTTCCCCCCATCTTTATTAAGGAAATAAAAACTGTATGTATTTAAAGTGTATGACTTAGTGTTTTGATATCCATTTGATTGTGAAATAATTGCTATAATCAAGCTAACTAACATATCCACCATTACCTCACAGTTAGCATTTATTTGTTTATTTATTTTTAGAAACAGGCTCTTGCTCTGCTGCCCAGGCTGGAGTGCAGTGGTGTCATCACAGCTCACTGCAGCCTTGAACTCCTGGGCTCAAGTGATCCTCCCGCCTCAGCCTCCCTCCCAAGTAGCTAGG